AGTAGTGCAATTGCTGGATGAAAGGGTATGCACAGTTTTATAGCCTGGTAGACATAGTTCCAAATTATGCTCCAGAATGATTGGATCAGTTCACAACGAGTAGAGGAGATTTTCAAGGAAGATGCCTGTGTGATGTGAGACTAGGAGGAAGGGAGAAGAGAGAGCTTTCTATGAATGTTCTCAATTTATTTGGTGAAATATGAAGCAAAGTCCTTGGCTCAGTTTGTGTTGGGGAAAGATTGTGCTGAGAAGCTTGATGAGAGATAAGGTTTCGAATAGCTTTGGTGGAAGGTAGGATAGTGAATTAATTAAGGAGGATCTTCCTAAAGCACAGGTCTGACCATGTCATTCCCCTCCTCAGTAAATTCCAGTGCTTTCCTAGCCCCTCCAGGATCAAACATACCATCCTATGTTTAGTTTTTAAAGCCCTTCATAACCCAACCCCTGTATCTCTCCATGTCTTCTTAGACTTGACTCCTCTCCACATTCTCAACTATCCTGCAACAGTGGCCTCTTACTTCTTCCTCTATTCCCTACAGTCTTTCCCTGCCTGGCCCCTATGCTGGCCCCTCTCCTTATCTCTATTTACTGCCATCCCTGGCTTCCTTTAAGCTAAAATACCACCTTCTTCAAGAGGGCTTTCCAGGTTCCCCTTAACAATAATGCTTTCCCTTTGACATTGCCTCCAATTTCCCCTACAGATAGCTTGCATGCGCATGTCGTCTCCTCCATTAGTCTGTGAGCTCCTTGAGAACAGAGGCTGTTTTTGCTCTTTTAAAAAAAATATCCTTAGCACTTAGCACAGTGCCTGGCATGTAGAAAGCACATAATAAATGCCTGTTGACTTGACTTGTAGTTGGTGTGTATATTGTTCTTCTGACTGTTTTATTCATTTGTAGATTGTATTACTTCATGTGAATCTTCCTTTATTTCTTTGAATTCATCATTCCTAAGTAGTAGGTGGTATAGTGAGGACCTGAGCTCAAATCCCTTCTTAGACATTCCCTAGCTGTGTGACCTTGGCTGTCAGTCACTTGACTTTCTGTCTGCCTCACTTTCCTTAGCTATTAAGTGAGGACAAGAATAGCACCTATGACCCAGGGTTGTTGTGAGGACTGAATGAGTTGATATTTCTAAAGTGCTTAGCACAGTGTCCGGCACATAGAAGGTGCCTAATGCTTGTTTCCTTCCTTCCTTCCTTGCTATCTCTCTCTCTCTTTCTCTTTTTCTTCTTTCCTTCCCTCACCTTACCCCTCCCTTTCTTCCCTTTTTTCCCCTTCCTTCCTTCCCTTCTTTTTTCCTTCCTTCCTTCCTTCCTTCCTTCCTTCCTTCCTTCCTTCCTTCCTTCCTTCCTTCCTTCCTTCCTTCCTTCCTTCAGAATAACATTTCCCTATACTAACATACTTCAGTCTGTTTGGTGATTCCCAAACCAATGGGTCACATATTGCATTTCTAGCTCTTATAACATAGACTGCTACTATGACTATTTTAAACATATTAATCTTTTCTTTCTGTCCTTGACTACCTTGGGGTATAATATCAGTAGTGGGCTCTCAGGGGCACAGGATATAAATGATTTAGTAACTTTTTTGCATTCTTCTAAATTATTTTTTCAGAACCCACCCACCTCATTTTGCAGAGAGGGAAATTGAGGTCCATAGAGTTTAGTTACTTAACCAAAAATGGAAACAGTGAATTTACTAAAGAATGAAGAGTAAGAAAGAGTGATGAGTACATAGGGCAGTGAGTCAGATCAGATCTGTCAGGAATCAGAGGGCTAAGACTGTATGATCTCCTGAGGCCTTGTCTGTAGCCCTCTCATTCAGCAAACTTTCAAATTTCCTGTTCTTGTAACACCCTGGTGTTCACACGATGAAATTTCTCAGGTACATCAAAGATCAAGAGGCTGAGAAGCTTTCTCAGTTTGTTCTAGGGCTTCCAGCTCCTGGCCTTGGGATAATGAGGAAGTTCATGGCTTTCCTGGCTGGGGCAATCTTTGTCCTTTCCTATAGAGGGAAGAATCTTTGGAGAGTGGTGCTGACAGAAAAACCCGTCTTTTTCTGCTCCAAGAGTAGTTATTGAGTAGGCTCAGGGTATCTTTAATGCATTTTAATCAAGGTCCTTCCTAATATTAGGATTAAGCTAAGAGCATCATTTTTCAATTGGTCTCACAGCTGTGCTGGGTAAGGACTCTAGAATAAATCAATCCAGCATTTTCTAAAGCACTTGAAGGCTCAAAAGAAGTCAGAGTGAGCTGAGACTTCCCTGTGAGAGGGTATGGGGCAGAAGGGTATGATATGGGGGGAAAGAGAAGATAGGAAGGAAAGAGAGAGACAGAGATAGAGAATTTCTATGATTCTGTAATTCATCTTGCATGGCTGCAAGTAAATAGCACGGTATAGTGAGAATCACCCAAAAGTGGGAATGGATGCATGGTGGGAGTGAACAGTCTACCATTTGCTTATTACAAACTGGATACTGACAAGAAGAAGCAGTGTAATGGATGGAATGTATGACCAAAAAAGAAGATGGACTGGTCACATGGCAGAAGGGGGTATGGCCAAGGGACAGCCTATGTGTTCTATTGATATCTTTGTGATGCCAAGATAAGTGGGAAAAATCTCCAGCACATACAATGCACACACAACCTGTGGTGAACCTAGAGGATGATATGGACAACAATTGTACAAGATAAGGAGGCATGGGTGGGTTGCTATCTGCAAGACTGAAGAAAATACCCATGTCAATGATCCATTTCAGTGTTTGAATGAGTGATTTTGGTATAGTGGGAAAAGTACTGGATTTGAAGCCAGAGGACCTAGGTTTGAATCTTGACTATTAATTTGACCTGCACATGACTTTGGACAAACACATCTTCTCTGGGCTTCAGTTTCTTCATCCACTAAATTATATTTTTATTTTTAATTTTTTTTTAGGCAATTGGGGTTAAGTGACTTGCCCAGGGTCACACAGCTAGTAAGTGTCAAGTGTTTGGTCTGAGGCCGGATTTGAACTCAGGTACTCCTGACTTCAGGGCCGGTGCTCTATCCACTGTGCCACCTAGCTGCCCCACCATCCACTAAATTATATAATCTCTAAAACCCTTTCCAACTCTACATCATTTGAGCCTATAATATAAAATGTCAGAAGTGGAAGAGACTTTAGAATACAGAATGTTAGAACTAAACAGTCCTTAGAACAAAGAATTTGAGAAAAACATAGAATTATAGAACACAAAATAGGAGAAATATCATCTTAGGACATAAAATGTTAGAGGGACCATCAAGCCCCTCATTTTTACAGAAGGTGAAGCTGAGGCTGAAAGAGAAGAAAAATCACATGGCATTTAGGGTTCTCCATCATCCACCTCCACCCTCTTGGCCAATATATTTCTCCTGAATCCCATGTGCAAGCCTTCTTCTCCAGTGAGGCTAGCTAGGATCACATGACAACTTCATAGCAGAGGTGGAAATAGAACCAAGGTCTCCTGATTCTTTGCCCACTACCTGGGCACCAGGACCTTTAGATTTAAGTATCATTGATCTTTGACTTTGACAATAGCAATTTGGCTAATTGCCCAATTGTGTACATAATATTCAGTATTAACAAAAGAGTTGTTGTCAAACTTTGCTTTGATATAAAAAAACTGATATTCATGTAACATTTCCATGTTTGCAAAACACTTAATAATACGTTATCTTATTTGAGTTTCTTAACAATCCTGTTATCTCCATTTTAGAGATGAGGTAACTGAGACCGAGTGTTAATCAATTTGCCAATGGTCACACAACTGTCAGTAGCAGGATTTCAATAGAAGGTTCCCCTTCTAGAAGTCCAACATTCTAGTGACTCTTCTTTCCCTTATGTTCTTTCCTCTCTCCCTTACTCAAGCATGTAGGATGAAATTCTGACAAGTTCATTCATTCTAATTTGTATCTACATGTTAATAAGAGTTAAGTCTTAAGTTAAAGGAAACAGTCTCTAATGGTGAACAATCAGATAACAGTGAGCATCCAGGAAGTATGTTTTGGGGGTAGTGGGATGCTATAATCAATGAAATCACACCAAGTAAGTGTGTCTCTTATACATACTTATAAAGGCCATCCCTACGTGACAGTTAATATAGGTTATAGCAGATCTTTAAAATAAGAACTCCAAGCTTGGTGGCCCACTCATTATCATAATAACTTGTATTTATTTCTATGGCATTGTAAAGTTTACAAAGTACTTTCCTTACAACAGCTTTGTCAATAAAACAGATACAAAGGAAAAGAAGCCCTGGTACCCTGTGCATAAAGAAATGTGAGTTTTTAAAGGTCATTGAGCAAACTGGCTAGAGGCAAGTTGCATGTGTCCAATGAGAGTAATAATAAAATCGAAGAACCTTCCCAGTGGAAGGGATCTCAGGGGTCCCACAGTTCAATATTCTAGACGGAATACTTCGACAGCATTCTTGACAATCATTATAAATCCTTCCCTTGAAGACCTTCACTGAAAAACACACTCCCTTCTGAGGCAATCCACTCAACTTTTGGGCTTTGCTCTTATCTCACCACACACACACACACACACACACACACACACACACACACACACACACACACACACATACACACACACACTCTGTTACCCTTTTTCCTCCTCCCATCCCTCCAAGCCTCCTTGTGCTCATGTCCACCCAAGGGTGTGCTAGAGCCAGCTTCACTGATTGTCAAATGTTCTGTGTGAGCACTTATACCTCAGAAAGAGGCAAACTCTACAAGTCAGGGCTTAGTTGATTACTTTGTTCATTGTCTAGACTTAAGAAAGTGATAGAGAAAATGTCAATTATGCAGCTTAAACTTACAGTGTATTTTCTCCCCTGAGAGAGCTGGTTGTTAAACATTTACCAGCATATCACCAGTTGCACCCCATGTGCCTTAGTGTGTCTCTCTCCTCTTCTTTCCTTCTTACTGCATTCTTATGGTAAAAAGGAATGAATGCTGAGTTTAAAGGCAGAGTCAATGATAAGAAGTATTTATTAAGCCCTTGTTATATGCCAAGCACTGAGTGCTGAAAAGTGGGGGATGGGGAATTTGGGGAAGGAGGGACAGACAAAGGCAGTCACAGGGGAATGATAGAATCCAGAGTCCAGCCTGTAGAGGAATGAGACATGGCTGGCCTGGAGGCCCTTCTTAAATGGAAGTCCTGGGAGGAGCCATGCAATCAGAAGCAGCAGTCGCAGGGGCAGAGGGTACTTCCAATGTGTGAAACACAGGGCTGCAGCGAGACTTTGGGATGAAGAGCTGGGGCATAGTAGAGGAAGTCTGCAGTGCAGCCTAGAGAGGGAAGACAAGACACAGGCTTTAATCCCAGCTCTGCTACTTACTCTGTGTGTGGTTTTAGGAAAGCACATCTAGCACCAACTCCCTGGGTTGTTGTGGGGACCAAATGGGATCACGTATGTAAAGAACATTGTAATGATTAAAGTGGCACATAAATGTCAGTGAATACTATTAGTGTCATTATAGTAATGAATGTCACAAGGGCCAGGATACGTGGGCTCACATCAACAGGCCTCCGTCATGAAGATCTCTCTCTAAAATTTCTCAGGATTGTATTCCCTCCCAGCCGAGGTTTACACTTGATGACTAGAATTTTTTAAAATTTCTTCCCCTCTCCCCCCACTTAATAGTATTTTTTCCCAACTACATGTAAAGATAGTTTTCAACATTCACTTTTATAAGATTTTGAGTTACAAATTTTTCTCCCTCATTCCTCCCCTCCCCAAGACAGCAAGCAATATGATATAGGTTATACATGTACAATCATATTAAATATATTTCCACATTAGTCATGTTGTAAAAGAAGAATCAGGAAAAAAGGGGAAAACCATGAGAAGCAAAAAAAAAGTGAAAATAGTATACTTCAATTGCATGCAGACTCCACAATTCTTTCTCTGGATGTGGACAGCATTTTCCATCATGAGTCTTTTGGAATTGTCTTGCATCATTGTATTGCTGAGAAGAGCTAAGTCTATCATAGTTGATCATTGCACAGTGACAACTTTAGAATTTGGTTCTTGTCTAAGTTTCTACAAAAAATGGAAAACAGACTTCAGCCCTCAAGCAAGCACTCGGGATAAAAACATATTCAACATAGGCCAGGTTTGTTTAACCCAATGAAAAACACAAAGGACTGACACCTGAGCCCATAAACAGACATGATCATTATCCTCCCCTCTCCATTAGGTCTTCACCTACAAGTTAGCTACGAAGAGGTAATACATTCCGGACCTGGTGGGCCAGCTGTGCAAAGACATAGATGAAGGAGAGAAAATAGATCTTGGGCAACAGCTAGCAAGCACATCTGACCACCGTGAAGAGTAATATGTGAAACAGTAGGTGGGAGACATACTAGAGAGGGTTTTCAATGCCAAGCCAAGGCACACAAGAGAAAAGCACTCAGGCCCAACAGGGAGGCAATTTCACTCCCCTAAACATGTACAATCCATATAGCTTATACCACCAGTGCTGAAAGGCTTGTAGACTCTACCCCACTGTGCCTCTTTCCCTTTCTGCTCAATTCCTCCATTTTCATGGAACTTGGTGCTGATATAGAAGCTCCCCAGCTTCATCTTTTCCATCTGGCACTGGTTCCTCAATGACTATGGTTACCCTGGAGAGATCACATGGTTTCCTGGAGGGGCCTTACAGGTGCCTAGTCCTCTATCCAGTGACCCTACCTACAACCATCTCTCTTTCTCCTCCTTCCTCCAGCCCTCCACAACTTTCGAGTCTCTGGAGTCTATATGTAGGTCTCTTTTAAATACCAAGCGAAGAAGTTAGCTCGGGGGTATGTGTATGGGTGTGTGTGTGTGTGTGTGTGTGTGTGTGTGTGTGTGTAGGAGGAGGAGGAATGAATCTTCAATCAACCAACATCATTACTGTGGTGTAAACATGACAAGTATCCAAGAAGCAAGTTCACCCATTGTCAAGGACATAAGCACATACTGTCAATGTAAGAACAATGGCTTCATCAGTGAAGTAACAAGGACTAGGGGAATTTACGTTTTGTCAAAGAATTGCCTCAATCCAGACAATTTCACACTTTATTTTGCAAGGTTACAGAGAGTGTGCAGGTTCCATACATGGAGCCATGATTACAGTAAAGGGAGAAATTCTGAATGCTGTGGATAAGTCACTTCCCTTTCCAGGAATGTACACATATATGACGAGGTTGACCCACACATTGCCAGAGCTAGTTCAGCATTTGAGAGGCTCTGGAAAAAAAGCGTGGGAGAGAAGTGTTAGGTGGCATACCAAACTGAAGGCCCACAGAGCTGCTGTGCTGACCTCATTGTTGTATGCCTGCAAAACCTGGTCAGCTTTACCAGTGCCATCCCAGAAAACTGAACCACTTCCATTTGAATTGCCTTAGGAAGATTCTGAAGATTTTTTGAGAAGATAAGGTACCAGACACTGAGGTTCTCTCGAGTTGAACTGCCAAGCACTCAAACTCTACAGCAGAGATCACAACACCAACGGGCTGACCATGTTGTTTGAATGCCAAAAATATATTTACTTAAAAGACTATTTTACAGAGAACTCACACGAGACAAATGTTCACATGGAGGTCAGAAGAAGTGTTACAAGGATGCTCTCAAGGTCTCCCTGAAGAACTTTGGTGATTGATGATGAGAAAGGGGAGACACTGGTACAAGACCATCCAGCTTGGAGTGCCTGCATCAGAGAAGACACAGCAGAATTGTAGGCACAGCAGAATTGAAGTAGCACAAAGGAACAGGAGATGCATAAATCCAGAGCCATCTCCATCCCAACTGTTCAAACAGACTACTTGTGCCTGATCTGTGGTAGAGCTTCCAAGCTCATATCAGACTGATCAGCCAGCCAAACACACTGCACGTTGACTCCAACATCATGATGTCGTTTTTGTCTTCTCTGAGTATGAGGGATGGACAACAATGGTATCAGCAGCAAGGACGATAGTGCTGTATTTGGAGCTGCCAGATCTGATCTCCCATCCCAGCTTTGCTACTCACTAACTAGGTGACTTTAGGCAAGTTGGGACCTCTGGTATTTCATCTGTGAAATGATAGGGGTTGGACTAGATGATCACAGAGGTCTAAATTCTAGCTCTAAAAATCAGTCTTATGATCCATATAAGGTTTCCAAAAAGTCCTAGTGGAGTTTTAAGCTATAATAGCTTAATTCTATTACCTTTAACCCTAGAAGGGATACGCGTGGACTACATTAACTGTAATGTGAGAATAATAATCTCTGCCTATCTCACAGGGCTGCTGTGGGGATTAAATGAGACCAGAGATGTGGAATGGTCTAGGGTTCTGTTTGGACTCCTACCATCTCCATGCCTGAAATTATGATTGCTACTCCTACTTTTTTTGAGTTCATCTTAAGCATAATAGATTTTGCTCCAGTCCCTAATTTTAACTCTGTGTGAAACTTTGTTTCAAATGCGTTTTCTTGTAAACAACATACTGTTAGATTCTGCTAATTCATTCTACTACCTTCTTCCATTTCATGGATAAATTAATGGCTATGATTGTTAATTGTTTATTTCCCCTCATCCCTGTTCTCTTGTATTTTTTCCCTTTCTTTCCCATCCACTCTTCTCTTCACAAAAAAGGTGGTAAAAGAGGAGTCTGCTTAACACTAGTGATCTATACTTGAAGTGATTCACTTCTGTTGTTTCCTTTCTTTTCTCCCCTTTGGCCTTTCCCCACATATGTTTTCTACTCTTTTCTTTTATCTTCCCTTTCACTGTCCACCCCTCTAATGTTTGAGTTTGTTTTGTTTATGATTATTCGTTCACTCATCTTCCTTTAAATCATCATTTCTCCTCTCCCCTTTTCCTGTTTCCCTGTTAAGACTAATTCTTTTTGTATATGTGAATACATGTGCGTGAGCACATGTCCAGTTCAGATGAAAGTGAGGTTCATGGGATACCTCATTCCCCCCAACCCCTTCCTCTATGTTTATATACTCTTCCTCATATATATATATATATATATATATATATATATATATACACATATATTTGCTTTTTGGTGAGGCAATCAGGGTTAAGTGACTTGCCCAGGGTCACACAGCTAGTAAGTGTCAAGTATCTGAGGCCACATTTGAACTCTGGTCCTCCTGACTCCAAGGCTGGAGCTCTATCCACTGCACCACCTAGTTACTCCTTCATATACTCTTATTACGTGAGATAGTAATCCTCTTCCTTCCTCCTTTCCTCCTAATATATTCCTCTGTTCTTCCCATTTTCTTCTTCCCCTAAGACTATCACAACAGAACTACCTCCCAGGCCCTTCTCTTGTCTTATTTAACTTTCTCCATCACTCTTGAAGACATCTGAGTTCTTAGAGAACCTTTGTCTTTTATTCCCCTATTACAACATAACAGTTACTCAAATGTAGTCACTTCCAATCGATCAAATGTGTTTTCTGTGTTACTGTTCTGTCTTTCAACATCTTCATTTAATTAATTCTGCTCAATTCTGGTCTTTTCATTAGAAATGCTTGGAAGTATTTTATTTAATCAAGGGCCCACTTTTCCCTGTAGAATTTTATTTAGTTTTGCCAGATAAGTAATTCTTGGTTGTTAGCATTTATCTTTTGCCTTCTGCAATATGGCATTCCAGGCTATCCTATTCTTTGAAATGGCAGCTGCCAAGACTTCTATTGTCTAACTTGCCCTAAACTCGGGAAACGGTGGGAGGATTGATAAAGAAACCATAGACTGAATTATCTCCTACATACCTGGAATGGATGCCTTCCCCCGTCTCGTTCCATTAAAATCCTTTCCACGCAGCACCTGATTTGTATCTCTATTCCATCCTTATAGAATTCTATTGTGTAGTATGGTCATTGGTTTCCCAGTGTCAGTTCTCCAACTATAGTGCCAGTTTCTTGAAGTCAGAGACTTCATTTTACTTACCTCTGTATTGTCTTCAGCACCCAATCTGGCACGGAGCAGGTATGTAATAATGTGTTTGTTGGATTGTGGAGGATGTGAAAAAAATCAAACAGCTTACTGTACAGTTTTATCTGCCCATGTCTCCTCCCCACCAAAAAAACAGAATCTTGTGTGTATAACTATTCCCCATCCCACCCCAACTTCCACTTCAGAATTGTTGGGACCTCAGTGGCCATCCATGACCTCAAGACCACACCTGAAGGAGAACTGCCACAACAATACCCCTAATAAGTGGTTATCCAGCATCTCCTTAAAGACCTGTGGAATCATTAAGCAGTTTTTCCTAAATGTGTCTTTCTTCAACTTTCGCCCATTTCTCCTGGTTCTGCCCTTTGGGATCAAGCAAAAGAAGTCTAATTAATCTTTCTTCTCCATGATACTCCTTCAAATACTTAAAGATAGTCACCCTGTCTACTTCCTACCCCTACCCCTATCCCCAGCCCTCTCTAACCTAAAGACTAAACATCTCCTGTTCATTCAAGCAATGCTTACAGGATCTCAATGCCCTTCATGATCCTCGATGCCCTCTTCTGGATATTCTCCAGTTTATAAATGTCCTTCATCAACTGAGGTTCCCAGGAATGAACAAATTACTCTAGAGTGGACACTATCATCTCCTCGTTATTGGGAATAATGTCTCACTTCATGTAGCCCCAGATCTAATTAGCATTTTTTGGCTTCCATGTCACTCCCTTGACTCACACTGATTTGCTGAATCACTGAATCCCCAAGTCTATTCCAAACAAACTGTCATCTAACCATGACTCCCCATGTTATATTTACTTTTTAACCCAAATATAAGATTTCACATTCATCCATATTAAATGTCATCTTGCCAGATTTAGCCCCTTGTTTTAGCCTGTCAAGAGCTTTTTTTTGATCCTGTCATCTAATGTCTTAGGTATCCCACAAAGCATTGGGTCATCAAGGAATTCTATTGGATGCCTCTCTTTTTCCTTTCCTTCATGGATTATCTCAGATGTCACCTCTTCTTGTGAAGTCTTTGTATCATCTCCAGTGCCTAGCACTGAAACACAGTGGGTACCTAACAAATGTTTGAATTGAATAAAGGATATGAAAGACTTTGAATAATACAAATTGCAGGTATTGTACATTGCTCTGTATCCTTCCTCCCACCAATATGCAGTATCTTAATAACAACTGCTAACATTCATATAGTCTTTCAGAAGTTATAAAACATTTTCTTATCTATTATTTACTTGCACAAAGTCCTGCTCCAATAGCATCTTACAATATGGAGCCCATCCTAGGTTCTCAAAGGCTATGCCAGCAGAATACAATTTCTTAAAGAATCTTCTAAGCTAGAGGGACTCTGAATAAAGTCCCTACAGCAGGATATGTTTGCTGTCTGAAAACCAGCCTAGCCTATAGAGACATCACCAATAGACTGGGCACTTAATGATGAATTCTTTGGTCACTACAGCACATGAAGCATAAAAAAAAAATCCAAAATGCTCCTTTGTCCTATGTAGATATCCTTCTACTTCTGTAGTGATGGCAGAAGGGGCAAAAGGTACTAAAAATAAGTTTTTAAGTTGTCTATCAACATTAATAGTGACTAGTAAATGTGAAATAATTTTCCAAGGATAAAAGAATGAGCTCACTATTGAAAAAGCTGTCATGTCAATTTTCATATTCTCTTTGCAAATTAAATCTGGAAACAAAAAGAAGTTGCACCTAATGGGAAGAAGAATTCACAGGTTCTCCTTAAGGAGGCAGATAACAGCACGGATGGAGTTGGTTTTGTTTTACATCCAAAGGCAATAACAATAGAAAAAAAAATTCATGGGATAATTGGGCCATGTTGCATTGCAATGCTCATGATGAGTATTTGCAAAAAGACCAGTGCAAAGATAATTTCAGCTTAATAAGCCAACATCTGCTGCAGATGATGAGGAAGTAGAGAAATTTTTTAAAGAACTCAATAAAATGTTCTGAATCAAATCAACATATATTTTAATACTCAGTGAATTAAAATCAAATGTGGGTATAAGGGAGAATGGCACAAAAAAAATACATGGGAAAATATCAAGATCAGGAATTAGAAATGAAAGAAGCTAAAGGTTTGAAGACTACATAGACGCCTCATACCTTCTTCAAAAAGAGAGTTGGAATACAGACCTGATGAGCATCAATCCAACAACCAAAAATTAAATTTTTTTTTAAAAAAAGATAATATCCAAAGAGATAGGAAATGACTGGTTACCAGTAGTGGAGTTATTTCCAAATTAGCTGTCTGTATAGTCAGATAAGTCAGACCATTGACTTGTTAGAGCAAAGACTGAAATCAATACCAACCAGCAGAATAAAAATGAGAATTTATGGCATGCAATTAAGAAAACTCCAACCTGACCTATTTAAGCAAGCTGTTGAAGTAACAGGAAAGTATTTTAAAAAAAAAACTGAATGTTATGTAATTATAGTGACCAAAATAATGCATTTGCTGTCAGATGCAGTTAAGTGTTGACTGATTTTGCTTAACTGTTTTATTACAAAGGAAGGCTCACTAAATGGTGCTGGAAGTGAGGAAAGGTACATAATCTCTTAATTGCCAAATGTGATGGTTTTTTCTTAGTCCTATCATTTCTATGGTGTTTTTCTTTGATCCACTCATTATTTAGGATTTCATTAAGTCTCCACCTGAGTCTGTTTTTCATTCATGCTTCCTGAATAGATTACTATTTTTATTGCTTTACGGTCTGTAA